GGAAAAGTGCAATTGTAGTTGTAGGAGAGATTAAAATTGGACTATCTTGATTTTCGCGTTACCTAACTTATGGTCGTTTATTTTAGCAGCAGGGTGACTTTGAGAATACTAATGACAGTAATGAGAAGAGCAAACTTAATAGAAATATGTGGACATTATTTGTATCCTGGTGGAATTAAAATATTACAATATTATCCATCTGGAATTTCATGCTACGTCTATTTCTCATCTAGAGACAGACAAAATGTAAAGTATCCAGTTTGTATATCCAAAGTTAATTTGATCGTACCGGTAATACTGCAATTTAAAATACCTGCAAGTAATTATCATCTTAATATTGGATCTTATTTTAATTAATTACGATGATCAGAATTTATTGAAATATGATTATAGTATTTTGCAGCACAATACGCTATATATTTATCGACAAATTGTCCGCTATTGATACTTATCATCAATATCAGCAGGATTAAAGTCATTTGCTTTTGCTGGTGTTCATTTATAATAAGGTTGATTAGGATTACGGACGATTAAAAAGCTGTCAGAAAGCTTTCCGATTTAAGATTGATGATGAGTACGTTGATCCCATATGCGTTTTAAACGATCCATAAAGCCATTATTAAGTAATTATCTCTTCTCGATAATTTTTGATAGGAACGTTATCAAAAGCATTATCAAAAGGGATTTTCAATGTATCTCATACGTTGTGCTACTTTATTCAATAGAGACTTGATGTGATTTATTCGATCACGAGCTCTATCATTGCGCATTGGGGTAAATTGTAAACTTTCCAACTAACATGGGCGATATCTTGTAATGTACACGTTGCATTATATTATAACGCAAGGTGTAAAAATAAGTTATTATACAAACTGTTGTCGAGGTAAATGAAATAGAACTAAAAAGTACGTTATTATATTACTTATTTTAGTTTATATAGAAGGGATGGTTATGAACTGTCATCGAGATTAATCATTGAACCAAAAAGGGGGGAAAAAAAAAGGAAGCGCATAAAATTTACATACTCGAAAAGACGACAATAGTATAATCTTGTGTTGCACGATATGACGCTAATTAAATTTTTATGATTTGAGTTTCAGTCGCTATTCATTAGAATGATTAGGGATATTAAATTGGACTGTGTTGTATTGAATTAATCTCCATTTGATCAATGTATGATTTCTCATTTGTATCCATGCAATGAATTCTCGGCATGGTGATCGATCGATATCAAGAATGATATGGATATAGACATGGAGAAAGTTAAAACTATGATGACAAGGCAAAATGACTTGAAAAAATCTTGTGCAAGATGTACTCACCTCTTTCTCAGAGCCTCTCTTAAAACCCTTAAACATATTGATTGCTGTAATTGATTCCTGTCCAGAAGGAAAAATAAGATGTGTTGTAATGGATTGCAATTAAATAGGAGTGAAGATTCTCACCATCTCACATTAGCTGTTTGTCGCACTATGTGTTTGGAGTTACTGTAACGTCTTACTACGTTGGAATAATAAATGGTGTTTGTGTAAGGTAAAGGTATACAACTCGTTAGTGATAGAGGTAACTTGATTATGACTTCCTTTTGGATGGGGATATTTCCAACTTCTGTCTACTGATAATCCAAGTCGTGTTTGCGCGTCTAGACTACTCGATGGAGTTCTTCCTTCAGGCTTTTCTCCTCATCGATGGATTTATTATGCGGAAAATAGACTTTAAATGCTATACAATAACTATGATCAAGCCTTCATCAATTGCTCTACTATCCAAAGCAATAATTCTATCCAATTCTACCATTTTCAGTCGCTATGTTCTCCGTTGGATGGATAAATCAACAGTTGTTGTGTATACAACGATCATTGCCATGGCATTCCAGCCTTCATTTGCATGACAATGGTTTCTAGACACGTGGGCTACTACGTAAGCGGTACCCGGTACAGTACAATTGACTGACTACAGTAGTTGGCGTACAGTACACTGCACTGTACACTGTACGGCTAGTTGGGCGAGTCATCTGTGCCAGACTTACAGTACAGTACAGTACAGTACAGTACTGCACTCCAGTCTGGGAGTCCCAGATTTCACAGTACTGTACAGTACAACGTTTTTTACTTAGTACTGTAGAGAATTCGGAATTTAATACAATATTACGCAAAAGTTGCTCTATCAACCTCATTTTAATCAATTAAATTAAAAAGCTAAGTTATTCAGCTTTATATTCGTATAATTTTTATTACATTCTGATTCACTCTGGTGATTTTAGGGCACCTTAAAGTACTCTGATTCGAACTGGTTCACGTTGCATCGATCACGATTCTAGGGGCGTGGCGAGCTGTTTAGAATGGTTGAAAGATGTTCAGCTATAGCGTTGCCTTAAATGATGCCTTTCAATAGTGAAGAAATGGACTTTCAATTTGACTCCAATTCCTTGCAGTCAGATCAGTACAACCTTGAGCAATTAGCTCTTGATATTTTTGATTACTTTTTATCGCAGTGTTGAATAATTACATTTCTTTCAAGTTTCTAATACAAACCATCAGTCGTTCCAACCATTTTACAAGTCACGTCGTAATACCGGTCTATACTGGTACGTTCCACGCAATATTATCGATCGATTAAAATGCGGAATACCACAAATTACCAGTTAGTAGGGTAGGCTAGAGCTGCAAGACAACGACAGTAGATATTCTTCTAGTAGTCCATGAATATGCGTACTGTACTGTAGTAGTCCCTACTGTAGTGTATATATTAAGTCTTGGGCTTCTAGATAGTTAGAAGTGTGTTGCATCAGGAAATTTCCTTTTTAAGTATCGTATGGAATCTCAAATGATATGCATCTAGAGCGTTAGTAAAGGATTCGTATGTCATGGATTGGATTGCTCATCATCATTGCGATACGTAATGATATTGCTAAGTTTTACAAGCCTTTTGTCCTAAAACTTGAAAAAAAGGTGTACTATTATTTATTTGTACCTGTAAGCTGCCCATTTCAATGAACGAGCACATAACCTGAACAAAGCAATAAATTAAATTAAAAAAAAATTCACAGCTAGATTATTTTCATAACTAACCTACTAGAAGACAGATAAGAGTATTGCAATCTACTGAGTTATAGTACGTACAGTACGTCCATTATGCTGTGCAATCACTCTTGTATCATGATCATGAAGCGGTTAGTAATTTAATTTTGATTACTACAGACTAGGCTAACTGTCGGCAGAGACTTCTCGAGCTTTTTATTACCCAAGCTATAGAAAGAAAGAAATGGAAAAGCCCCTGCAGTCGGCCGCTTTGCTGGCCTATTATTCAACGTACAGTCAACTCTATTGATTTAGCCATTATTTATGACGTACTGATTTAATTTCCGATGTTGTTCATTTACAGTACCAAAACGTTGCTTGCAATATTGTATACAGTACTATATAGGATGACTAAAAGGATAAGCGTACTTTATAGCAGACTATCCTATAGGATCCAAGATAATGGCATCAATCTTACTATTTTATGTTCAAATCAAATCATTTTGATTGATGTAATCTGTTCAATTATATATACACGTCGATATAATACACATGACCATGTCATTTCAAAGCAGGGCAAGGATCATATGGCAGTCATCCAATCATTGCATTGATGCCAGCTCTTATGCAAATGCAATGATGACCATTGCCTGACCTTGACTAACTTGTATAATTGAAATCATGGATGGAATACGCTCTTTGCTGCTCCTTGCATGCTGAACAGATTGAGCATGAAATACTTTGAAATGTAAATCAGGACAACGCCCACTTCGGCATCACGTCAACCTCGACACTCTACAGTAGGTCAAAGGTGTAAGGAAAGCAACATTAGCCTAGAATTGAATCTATTTGCAACTTATGGACTTTAGAAGAGGTTCAAAAAATAAAATAAATAAATAAATCCTGCAAGTGAGTTAATACTTCAAGATATCTTGGCTGATCTTCCAATCTTTGACTCTTGTTTATTGATTAATTAATCATATATTATTATTGACGAACTGCTCAAAAGAACACCACAAGGTCCCACTAGTACTAGCATACAGTACTACTACGTGTGGCTTGCCTGTAGCCTACAGACTGTAGGACAGTTGAACCGTGATGGCTGTACCGTTACGGTACGGCCCATGACGAGACTGCGCTGTTGACTCGAAAAATAACAAAACTTGCCTACTTGCCACTGTATGGGACTTTAGGTAGTGTACAGTACATGTGCAGCGCACGTACTAGTTGTTTGACGTCACCACCAGCTCACCTTGACCGGTGCATACCCTAACCCTAACACACAGGGGTACAGAAACAATAGGAAGGGCACAGTAGGTGTGGGTGTTACCCTTTCAAGGAAAATTATATTTTTTTGAGGTAAAAAGCCTGAAGGCAAGCATCCATTTCTGCCTTCTTTGCTGCTCAGTTATTATACATCCCTTGGTCGTCCAGTAGCTCGATCTTCGTCTGTTATCATCGTAGACTCTAGTAGCATTTCTCTACTGGAGTGGACATCGATACAACGACAAGCTAGAATTATTATCGTTGATTGATCCTTGTCTAAATTAACGACTCGCAGTCTACACTCTACGGCAATATTGGATGTTGCAAATTTGCGTGGTGCAATCAGCATAGCATTAATGAACTTTTTACTTTATATTATTCGCACTAATCGCATCGTTAATCTGAATAAGTGAAAGTTAAACAATCTGTGATTCTATCATCGGAAATAGTCTTCTTGGATTGCCTAGCGGAGATTTAATCTCGTTCACAACGACCACCAAATTTATTACTCAGTAACAGAACCGGGAGAAGTCAATTTTTTAAATTTGCCCCCGCTTAGAAGAAATCTGCCTACAATTACTGTTTAGCATTACATCCTACTTAATTGCTGCTATTTTCAATTGATACCTCCTCTTGTTTGCACTATATTCTACATTTTAAAATTTTTTCTTGGTGTCACCTTACAAACTATTCCTTAACAACGAGTGAATGAAAATGTCGCCGCAAAGTAAAACCAATAAGCCGTTAAATGTTGCTGTTATTGGAAGTGGCTTAGCCGGGATTAGTGCAGCTTGGTTTCTTACTCGATGTGGTCATAACGTGCATTTATACGAAAGGCATAAATTATTAGGACTTGGAGCTCATTCTGTTCAAGTTGGTTCGGTTGGTGATGTCGTGGATGTACCGGCTAGAACATTTGTAGCAGGTAAATGACTCTAGGTACAATTAGTTTAACAAATCTATAAAAATAGTGTTCCATCGTATCAACCTTAATAAATAGCACTCTACCCTATAGTAGACGATCAATAATTTTTCAACATAAAAGATATTTCGACACTTCTTCATGTTGTATCGTTAGCGGTGAATGAGGATGAAACATATTACTTTAAACCAGATTCTCTATTGATATCATTTGAGAATTTCAAGACACACCTGAAAATGCAGCTAGTCATGCCAGCTTCAAATGCAACGACTTCAAAGCAGAAGACAGTGTGATTTATCAATGTTTTGCAAATCTACTTCCTAGATATTACTCTAAATTTCAATACTACTTTTCATCAATTTTCATCCTTTTCATTTCATGCCAGTCGTTTAAAAATTTCACTTTTCACCAAATTGCAAGACTATCTTAGCCCTGTAATTTGAATGCAATGAAATGCAGTAAGATCATTTAGCATGCATTATTCTGTAAGCGATACTAAAAACACGGAAACAACTGGGGTATGTTGTGTACAGCATCCAGAACTAAATGGATTGCCATTAAAAACAACTAAACAAAATGATGCTGTCAAGGGTCCGTGAAGTATACGCTAAAAGTAACAAATAATAGACAGTAGTACAATATAGTGTAACCTATCGATCAAGCCGGAGACCTCCTGTGTATTAAATGAATAGATTCAATAGCAAATTGAATTACTATCATTTACTAATATGATGCAATTTGCTAATATGGCCAATGCTGCTCGACCGCCATTGACGAATTTCAAACTAATGCATCATTGATACCAATATAGACAAGTATTTACATTATTAAAACTAGCGCGGAAGTAGTATGGTTAGTATGTTAACAGTGAAAGTGAGTCATTTTTGAAAATGGAATTAAACTATTTATTTTATGGACTGATCAAGGATGGTTTTGGTAATATTGAGTACTGAAAAGTTTCTTTACGTGTAAACATCTACATTATGTGTCAGCCCAGCCTAAAATAGGGATAGGTTACCATTATTTATAGTACAATTGTAGTATTCAAGTTCTACTGAAGCCAATTACTCTGTAGGCAAACTGATAACAGTGTTGATAGGCGAAATCGCTAGAATTAGTGAAGTAAAAATGCAGAATGATTGAAAATTTACTATACCCATATGCTCGTATACTGTAATCATAGGCAGTAGTAATGTGAATGGCACTGTAAACAATACTCTACAGTATAATGTATGAAATATATCCAAAATGGAGCAGCAACGCCACTCTTTACCAGGTTATAATACAGAATAGCTGTAATGCATTCTCGTCTTGAATGGGACTGTTATTTGGCGCAGCTTGTAAAGCTACAGAATCTGCATACAAATCATACGACCTTTTAGACTTATGATGCAAGCTGCAATAGGGCACGTAACTGAAATTTAAATTTGAATTACAGCAAATTAATGATGCTACCTGTTCAATATTATGAGATAATCACTTCGTACCTACTGATATTAGAATATTTAGAGTTAGTGTAATTACTACATGTTATTACATTTCAATGATTTTGATCTTGCACGATTTCTTCTATGGCTAATTGCCCTCAAAGTTGAAAGCGCAAGGGTGAAATTTGACTATGTTGTTATCTAATTAATATATACTCGTATATTCCATTTAAGGCTACTACCCAGAAATGGTTGCCCTATGTCGAGAAGCAGGTGTGCAGACACATCGTATTGTTGCAGAGCCGTCCTTTCAGGTACTTGTATAGTGCGATACCAATGTCATAATGACGATTATTCCTAATCTCTGTATTACTAAGTAAAAGTCAGTTCTGTGCTAAATGTAAAAATATGGTTACTTACTTTGTCATTGATGTAACAAGAATTTAAGAAGTAAATTACTACTAGCATGCTGTGTCGGAAGAATTTTATGCTATCGTAAGATTATTCTGCAAAGCTGATAAATTGATTATATAAGTCCTTTGTATCAACAAATGGAGGTATCTGGTTCGTACCAGCAAGTAGTATTACTATTATAATATCTCCTATGTTGGCTATGTATTCTATTAGCAGCGTATAGTTGCAAGTGTGATCACTGTGAATAATACGTATATTTCATCTAGGTTTTTGGTGAAAAGAACTATTTCGCATTTAGAAACTTTCTCATTGGAGCATACGCCTTACCATTCTTAAAAATAACTGACGCCATCAAAAATTGGAAATTCACATGGAATATCCTGTATGACATGTGGCGATTTAGAAATGAAAGTTTAAGGGTGCAAGCCTCTGAAGTAAATATACAGAATTATATAAATAGTCGCTACACTTTATTTTTATACAGTACTGCAGCATTTATAGCATTCATCCTACAGATTGCTACACTACTTTTAATTTATAATTAATTATGCTACTAGTTATATCTATGACAGTGTCATATCTTATCTATAAACAATAGTGTATATACAGTATATATATACCCGTATCTTTCAGGTTCACATTAATGTAAACTAGGCACAACATGATACTCTTACTAAAGCTTTCGCTTAAAATTTTTAAAGCTGTTAAAACAGAAATATCTGACCGTTAGCGTTCAGGAATACTTAGATCAAGAAGGTTATAGCAAAGAATTTGGCCATAACTTTCTTCTTCCTCTTTTTGGCGGTTAGTAAGCAGAATGAAACACATTTTTTCTGTTAAAGTAATGTTCTATTACTTCTTATGAATAAATAATCATGAATTGTAACATGATCTTGTTGACTTATGAAGTTGTTGCTACGTGCTCAATACAAGCTGTACAAAATTATCCTGCTGCTGTTGTCATGGAATTTTTATCAAAAGTATTACTAACTGGCAAAACATATTCCAAATTCACTGCGGGATGTCGCAAAGTCTCCGAAGATCTTGTTAAGGTAAAGATTTCTGCTGGCGTAAATAGAGGCTTGTTTTATTGATTTGTAGTTTATCCATAGGACGTCAATGCGGTTTATAGGGATACAACAGTAGAATACGTGAAGCCTGTGGTTCAAAAGGATGGAAGTGTCAATGAAGTGGCCGTAAAAATAAAGGGTCAACCACGTCGAATTTACGATCATGTTATCTTATCTACTCAGGCTAATCAGGCTTTGAAAATCTTAGTTGATGCAACTGATGATCAGAAAGAGGTTTTGTCGGGCTTTGAGTACGAGTATAATGAATGTATAGTACATACGGATTCTGTAAGTATGCTATGAATGATGGGGACTTAATTTTCAGCACTTATGCTATTCGATCTTGAGTTCGATGCATTTAATTTATTTCATAGCTTTGTTTGCAGTGCTTACAGAAAGATTAACGCTAGCTTTGATTATTGTTATATGACCTCAATGTTACGTTTACCATACTGTATCATTCAAATAATTAGTTATCAAGTATATATCCGCTACTTTCGTAATTCACATAAGACTAAAAACGTTTGTATACGCGTTTTAAATTTGTACTTGCTGACGAGCTGAATTTGACTGATAAAGTAAGTTGTTGTAGCATAGCCTTTATCGAATAATAAATCATGACTAGTCGTTGTATATGAAATTGAACATGCTTCAAAATATGCGTAGATACTTGCAAACTTGATCGCAATTTTCTTTTGGTTCAATAGTGAAATGATGTATTTATCATGCTATTAATTCTTTTTTTAATTTTAACAGTCGTTAATGCCTAAAGATAGGAAAGATTGGTCACCGTTGAGCATCTATATTAAGCCGGATAATTATCAAGAGGACGATGAAAAGAGTAAGCGAACGACAATCATGTTTACTATGTGGCAGAATACGGTGCAAAAGTTTCATGATCACAATTTTACGCAAGACTCCGATGAAAAGACGATCGATTACGGCGATCTATTCCAAACTTGGAATCCGTGGACTCAACCAGATCCAGCAACTATCGTGGTAATTTGGACTTTGAGACCAATACTCGTTGATTCATTGGTTAATTTGTAATAACTGATTTTGATCAATGATCAATGTCTTTATCATAGCCTGGTGGACGAAAACAATTGGAAAGATCTACAGTAACGGTTCAAACGCCAAAATATTGGGAAATGGTAAAAAAGATTCAGGGACAAAATAATATTTGGTAAGTTTGTTCAGTTTTACCCAATGTAATATTCGATATTTTAGCTTGTCGGGAGCAATGAAAACGTTGGTTTAAAGGATATGGAAATAGTATATAACATAGGAAACTAAATTTTACAATTGCAACTCAGGTTTTGTGGAGCGTACACTTTGCCTGGTGTCCCACTGCTTGAAAATGCTGTAAATAGTGGTTTAAATGTAGCTGAAAAATTGACCAACGAAGTTCGGCCATGGCGTTCTGGCGGTTATAATCCACAGATTCAACAAGTATCAGTCCCTTTCAAGCATAATTGTATCACTAACTTGCTGATGGCTCTGCTTATGTTGACTATCGCTTATCTTGTCGCTATTCGAATGTTAGAATAACTTTACTCGTTAATTAAAATGTAGCTGAATGAAATTATACTGGCAATGAAGTATTTCGTGGTTAACGAAACTTTTTATTGATCCGAAATGGGTCAGAACTTGATCATTTTATAGTCATGGATAATTTAATTTGTGTTAGTATGGCTATCTTATAGTACCCAGTTACATTCTCTACCAGGGCTGCTTTGATGTGCTGGAAACGGTGTTCAAATCTACAGTATGTACATACCCAATGTTATGACGTAATCAAGCATAATTCATTTTCTTCTTCATGATCATTTCAGTACTTGAAAGGACTATAATTTGCTGTAAGCTGTAGTTGTGATACAATTGGTAATAAATTGATGTTATAGCAGCATTAAAATTCAGTTTGAAATGCAACTAAAATCTTGACATAAAATGGAGACAACTTGAATCTACCTGGTGTTGTATTATGGTTGACTTTGCTCAGAATGTGCATACTGTTATACTGTATTGTAAACAGCGTTACCTAATAGGATTCAATTACCGAATACTTTTGAACTCAATTCACTCCCCTTTCAAGATACTACACTACGATATCATGTCAACGTGCACACTGGCCTCCCTTTAAACAGCAAGAGGGCATTGAATTCAATTTATTAGGAACTGTAGATGCCTTTTCGTTCTCTGCAATCAAGACGATCGAGTTATTCAGGGTATCTGCAGTATACTGCATAGTGACGTCAGAATACACTAGTGTCTATTACGTCCTGTACTTTACAATGTACCGTATAGTATACTTTATGCAGCCGTGCTGAACCAGTGCCTGTTACGGTGCAGCACGGAAGTAAAGCACGACTAACCATTGACTTACTATCACTAAAAATATCTTGTTCTAGTTGTCGTTAGCAAATATCGATATTGGAATCGATCATTGTCCGTTCTTACTAGATGATTAACATCAACATGAATTGAATTTTTGGATCGTCACCCCAGTGAGCAACTGGTCGTAAAATGCAGAACAATTACTCACTTTTCTTTACTGTTAGTAATGTAATCCCTGCTCCTATGCGTACGGCCAATCCATAGCAAGCTTTCAATACAAGCACCGTCAACGGTGGTGCAACAGTACTGTACGTAAAATACAGAATACGATTAGCCAGGGTATTATACAGTACGTTAGGTTTCTATCTACAGTAATATAAAAAAGAGACTTGATTACTGTTGTATCCTCATTGAAAGAGATATACTATACAGGACAGGGCTGCTAATCGGTCTTCATTCATGATTAATTCAAGTTCATGCTCCTTTTACACTATGTTCATAGATTGACTGGCGTCGATAGACAATGTCAATATCATAATACAATCAATCCAAGTAATGTAGTTTGTGTAAGTGGGCTACTATACTGTTCAATGCTAATGATGAAATGCAATAAAATGGCTGAGATTCGATTACGTAAGAACGATCTACAGTACAGTAGGTCTGACCAACGCTAAAAATAGAGTACCGTAGACTACAGTACTATATACTGTGCATTACAGTACAGTATACTGTACTATACTGTCGAGCATACGGTACACTACTGTCGAGAGACATCTTTGCGGTACTTTATTCTGTACTGACAACGTTGAACGTCCCCTTTGAAAGGTAACTTGGAGACAAAACACGGTTGTACTACTGTACCGTACTGTACACTGCACAATGGTGCTTGACATACAGTACAGTACAGTACAGTACTGTACAGTACTGTACACTGTACAGTACATGTACTGTACAGTATTATACTGTACCGTACTCTGTACTCTACTGGACTCTACCATACTGTAGACTTGGTCCGGCCTTCTATCTGTACCGTATAACATCCATCCTTCTAGCGCGCTGGCAGCTTTTACTGTATGTATAGTACTGCGGTTGTTACGGCACAACATTGGCTTGAAAACGTTGAACAGGAGGAATCTGTTTGTGAAGAAAATTGTTTTCAACTAGCTGCATTCAACAAGGTAAGCAACATAAATATTCCTGTATTCCATTCTTTTAAAATAATCATCAATCATACAACCTACATTTTATAATGTTCCATTCAAAATTATCCTTGTCTTTCCACACTCAATGTTATCGGGTAAGTCGATCATTTTCATTGCCATTTCTCATTTCTCCTACACCGTTCTTGATGATGGCTAAAACTACAGTCATCAACTCGTAAAACACCGTGGCACAGTACGGCTCAATCATTGGTACACTAGGATTGTTGATGTACTGTATGGTCTGTAGTATCGTACTCTAGTCTACTCGACTTGCTATACTGTACAGTCTACAGGAGACGCAGTGGATGATGTTCATAGGAGCCGAATATATCAATGGCCAACTGTTAGTGTACTATAAGAACACCGTCGGCTGATTCAGTGACACACATCGGAATGGCGTACTTCTTACGGCTAATTTGAACCTAGAATAGAATATAATGTAATCGTCAAATGGATGATATCAATCAAGGCTTGATATCTTTCGTATTCTTGCACGCTCATCAATCTTTATGACGACTATCATGTCTTCATTATACTGTATTCAGAATAGAAAGAAAGAAAGAAAGAAAAACTACAAACGATGGTTCGTGCAATCTTTCAATGAGAATCCCATGAGTAAAGCCAACCCATATTCGACTGTAGAATATACAGTACTGTATATACACTCATTCTCAAGGATACCTACTGTATTGTACTATGTATCATAGCAAAGACGGAGGGTAGAAACACTCCAAAGTAATGTTTCATTTAGAAGAGTTTTTTCGACAGCGCAATAGTCATTCCTGATGGAAATTCTAGTCCATATTTTCTATGCCTTTACTCGATGATATCTTTCTTACGCCACAAAAAAAAAAAAAAACACTCCAATTTTGACTGCCTTATCGATAAATTCTATTCTTATATACATGCTCGTCAATATTAAGGTAGTTCTAGTACTACACATGGGTCGATGTTGGTTTACATATATTGTAAATAGATGACTGTACGCGTATGTACAGTAGAGTTAAGAGATTTACCGTTGTGTCAAAGGGAAGGTATCGCAAATTCGCAACGAAATTGGAAAGCCCTTCTGTCACTCTCTAGTTCACATCGACTGACATATTTATTATTAGAATGCCCGATATTCCATATCCATACGACTATAATATATACTTTACGTACGTATAATGATCAAGGACTTCCAGTACTGTATTATTGATGAAATTTTTCTACCAGTTATCATTCTCAACAAGTCAACTGCAACTTTCTCGCTTTCCTCTAAACATGGAAACGTCATTTCTGTCTCCCCTTAGCCCTTTCTTAGTAACACTAACTGATACACAGTACTGTATGTAGAAATTTTCCGTCATGAATTGAACGACGAGTCTCAATATCCACATGGAAATACTTCATGTTTTATAACTGAGATTCGATGAAAAAATTTAAAGAATTATTTTTACTGTCAATTCAACATAGTTATACCGTTGTCTATCATTACATGGACAGAATGGATCAATTAAACCATTTTACTACACACTGATAAATATTTAGACTATTTTATCATTGGTTTATTTTCATGATTTACACGCGCAATTTTTCAACGGTCATGTTTCAATGTACTTCATAAAATGCTTGACGCATACAATGTTGAAGGTTGAGCCTACGGATTTGCTACAACAAAACTGTACTGTATTTTCTTCTTTTTCCTTGGCAATCATGTGATATCGAAATGTCAAGGCATGGAATTTGTAAATTGAAATGAAATCACTCATCCTATTATACAGGCTTGCGAAAGATGGCCATGGAGGGTTGAAATTTTTGATGGGAATTAATAATTGATTAAATTGGATGAAATATGTTTTTGTTGTATACTTTTCTCAAGGCCATTTTAATAACTTGCTTCTTGACGCGATTACATGATAGCCTGATTGGGCGTGCTTTGTATGAGACACACTATCACCGCCATTCTGAGGTGCAATCAGACTTTGGACGTGCGGACCACTGCCATCTAAAAATTGTCGTTTCCGTCAAATCCTGACTTGTATTGTACAAGTGTACTGTACACTGTACCATACAGTACAGCACAGGACGGTCAAGGTCTTGTTGAAAGATCTTCTTGGTATAGTACTGTAGTAGAAAGCAAATTCGGGACTCGATCGATTAGATTACGTCATATGCAATCATACGGGCGCCGCTACGGTGTGATTGCTATAATATAGTAGAGTGGTCACTATACCATGGTGCTTTTCAATTTTTATCAAATTTCACAAGCTGAAGATATCACTAGCAATTCCAAAACTGTCCTATGACTAGGACTACGATTGATTATACTGTAGATATGCGTACGTCAGCTTATTGGTATACAATAACAACCGGTAGAATGTAAAAAGGATGCTTTTGGTCACGTAGGGTATTGCGAACTTTGAACTAGATGCATGATGATAACCTCTTCTTATACCATGCCAGTCAAATCCAATCAGTTTCGTAGTCATGAGGTGTGATGGGGGTAAGCGGGGACCGTAAGTAAATAATGATCACCTGATGGTGTATGCTATACTAATCCCTTTGAAATGCTCAAGTAGCTTCATATGTTGAAATTATAATCATCATTTGCAACTGTGAATACGATACTCTGAAATGACTTGATACAACTCATTTATACTGGAGTAAATACTATACAGTACTCTAACAATATCCGAGAATTAATTGATCGACTGCCTGAGCATGAAATGAACTCCAACACTTCATCACACCACATTGATATTATTTTAACATCTTAATTCTTCAACTGATTGACGTATATTGTAGTTTAATGGATTCCAGTTCTTGATGATAGTTTTGCTAATCGAACAATCATCACTTAGCTATGATTATTGTAGTGGTTACCTGTATATTCCATGAAATAGACAGTGCTGTACAATGTACATGTAAATTTGAAATTGACCTTACGTGAATCTTCTTCCCGGACTCTTGAACATAGTCTACTCTTGGATATGTGATAATTCTAATGTTCTATGCATGTAAATGGAATAGATGATGATAAATGCCTTCAGAAAACAATCTGTTAACATTAAGTCTACTTTCTTCATTTAGAAAGTGTGAAACGACCGTGACGTCAACTTATGTAGAACTATATATTATGGTAATGTGCTGAAATTTTCGACACTCTCTACGTACGTACGTCATATTGAAGTTGATATCAAAAAATAAAATATGTCATCCGCTCTGGCTGAACACAACGGGAATAATGGTAATAAACATTTTTTGTTTATATTCTAAATCTCTAGATAAATTAAAGTATGATACGACATTACTTATATATCTTATATATATATTTACTTAATTGCAACGTTAGCGATATAATACTTTTACATTGCTTCCTAGTTGCTATTACAGGATTGTGTCAAATTTTGATTAGGCATGGCATGATATCATATTATTCATCTTTAGGTGTCAGCGCGGACGATGTTAATACGGAAGTTTCATCGGCTGTATCTGCAACGACCGATAGGTTGGAATTAGTAATGATGGAAAGTTTTGATTGATGAGTTAATAATTTTTATCTAATTTTACTGCTTTATTACAGAGGAGGACTTTGCCAATTGGAAGTAAATGGTAATGCTAATGATTGATATTGATTTTAGTTTTATCTAAAACACAGTAAAATGATTGATTTTTAAATTGATAAATTTGTTCGTTCCGTTTAAATACATCTTGTTATTATTTAACAATAGTTTCTTCCGCGAAGTTAAAAGAAGTTGGTGGTATTTTTGGTGAGATTGCTGCTGCACTGATTACAACCTCTTCCATTGTGATACTAAATGATATGATATTCGTAGTTGAAGTAGTCATATGAAATATTTTAATTTTGTTATATAACGATACGCTATTGTAAATATTATCTCCTTTCAACTAAATAGCCAAAGGAAACGCTTATGTTGAATTGACCATTGATAGTCATCAGCCACCTTTAAAAACCGAAGTTGGTAAAAAGACATGGACCCCAAGTTGGAATGAGCACTTTACTGTGTAAGTAGCACTAGTAGGTAGAAATCAACGGAAAGCATTATACTGTATAATAACCCCCTTCGATTTGCGTAATAAGACAGATAAACTATCTTTCTTAATATGCATTTGATCAGTAATTTGACTAAATAAACGTTTTCCAGATTGGTCACTTTAAATAGTGTACTGGAATTTAAAGTTTTCAATCATAATGTACTGAAGTCTAATGTACTGCTTGGCCAAAATTCCATCAAGTTGGCAGATATATTACGCGAAAATAACGGAAAATGTAAGTAGTTTATAAACAATAGTCTTAGTGAACGTAAGTATCAGAATAACGACGATTTTACATCTTTATATATTATTTCTAGTGAAAGACTGCGGATTAAAATTGGATTTAAGAACTGAGAAAAATGGAACTCGCTTACCTGCTGGCGATCTTTATATTAAGCTTAATGGGATAGATCTTACAACATCTGAATTAAATAATGGTATACAATCAAATTCTACTACACCAACGAATGGATCTGATAATAGATCAGGAACGGACTCACCTGCAAGTCCTATTGCAGCTCAATCGCCAAATTCTAACCCTACGCAACAAGCAACCGCGCGTCCAACTACACCGGTACCACCTACTAGTAACCGACCTCCTCCTCCTCCGCCTAACCAAAATAATACTGCAGGTATCACTGGTAGCATACCAAATCAAAGCTCTACTGCCACTAATGAAGGTAGTCAGCTCTATGGGTCGCAAACTTTTGTTTACATTCTACAAATTATTAATTGAATGCTGTGTGCTAGTTAAGCTTTATCAATTGTAATTATTTACTTTTGTTTAATCTCCATCTTGACTAGGTGGCAACTCAGATAGCCAAGTAGCCTTGCCGGATGGGTACGGTGATAATGTTAATTCCGAATTTTATTTCAGTATGTGCTCTTAATTTATTATGTATAATTACTGTTGAAAGGTGGGAAGAAAGAACAGATCCCTATGGTAGACACTATTACGTCGATCATAACACAAGAACTACAACTTGGGAAAGACCTGAACCTTTACCATCAGGGTTAGTGCATATGACATTAAATTTTATTTACGCAGTGTAATATATTATATGCACCTCATATTTCTTATATGAATTTTTTAATGCTTCAAAATTAATTTTGAAATATGTAGGTGGGAACGTCGCCATGATCAGTACAATCGACCATACTATGTAGATCATAATACGAGAACTACAACATGGCATCGCCCAACTTCAGAATCTATAAGAACCTTTCAACAGTGGCAGGAAAGACGCCAACAAAATCAAGATGTGCGAAGACAAAATTATCAGCAAAGATACCTAATTCCTGTTAGTAAACCTCTTATACTTGGTACTGTATCTGCACTTATTAATATGTAGTTGTTGTCAAAATGACATTATAGAGCTCTGGAATACAAGTTGTTGGAAGAGATCTTCCTCCTGGATGGGGTTAGTAATTGAATGAATTCCTTCTGGATATTTTTTGACTGAAAATTTAATGATCATTTGTCTCTAGAGAGAAGAATTGATCATAATGGTCGTGTGTATTTCGTTGATCATAATACTAAGACAACTCAATGGGAAGACCCTAGAACTTTAGCGTAAGTAATAAAATTATGCCTTTGCTATAGTATCCTCGTTCAAGCCTTTGTTAAATTACATCATACTTCTATATGTAAATAGTCCGCTTCCTCCGTCCTGGGAAAAAAAAGTTACAGATCAGGGAATCGTGTATTTTATCGATCATAGCACGAAAACTACAACATACACCGGTAAAGACCAACCATTCAATAAAAGTTAATATATAGCTGAATGATTGTTATTAAATTGAATTTTCTTTTGCAATGTAGATCCTCGCACTGGAGCACCAAGGTACCTAAAGTGGTGTAACTTTATATCTTGTTTTCGAACTTACGATTAAGTGCTGATAAATTGCATTATAATATCATATATTCCTAATATAGTTTTATGCTAACGTTAATTATTCTGTTATCAGCTTTTCTTCGTATCAAGGTAATTTCGATTGGCGATTGGCAGGTTTTAGGCAAATGTGCCAAGTAAGTGTTAATCTTTATCTATTATTTACTTCACAGTATACTCTTTGAACATGATTAAGTGAAGTAATCTAGACTAATGTGGAGTACTGTTACACCTCTATAGGACAGCGCTCTGCCAGGACATACTAAAATCGCTATTTCAAGAAATACTATTTTTGAAGATTCTTACAATGCTGTAAGAGATCGTTATAGGATCTTATTACTTTTGATAATTTTACTCTTAATAGTTAGTGTTTTAATGAAGTATGATAGTTAGCAGCTTGCAGTACTGATTCTAGATTTATTGAAATTTCTGTATAGATTATTTCGTTAAAACCTTATGACCTCAGGAAACGGTTATACATAATGTTTAAAGGGGAAGATGGCCTTGACTATGGCGGTTTAGCAAGGTTATTTAGAAATTTATTTGCAAGTTTTTTTAGGCTTCTATTTATCTGAGATGGCATTGTTAACATTCAATCGATAGGGAATGGTTTTTCCAACTATCACACGAAATGTTAAATCCGATGTATTGTTTATTTGAGTACGCTAATCAAAATAATTACAGCTTACAAATAAATGCAGGTATGTTATTATTTCGTAGCCGTTCGATTTGCAAATTTAAAATTAATCGATCATTATATATAATACAGCATCTAGTGTCAACCCTGATCATTTGAAATACTTCAAATTTGTTGGAAGAGTTATTGCTATGGTATGTGACAATGATTTCCTTGAAGTAGTGAGATAATACCCTAAGGCTATATATAGCATTAAATGCGGAGGTCTAACGAATTTTCTTGTATGTATGCGATAGGCTCTGTATCATGGCAAATTCATAGATAACGGCTTCACGTTACCATTCTACAAGCGTTTACTAAATCGTGGTGTTTCGATAAACGATTTAGAACAAGTAGATCCGGAATTTTACAACTCTTTAAACTGGATTAAGTTAGCGATTATATATTATCGATTCTGTTTCTTATAAATTATGAGGGCAATGATTAATTACTAATGTCACCAATACCATTGATAGGGATAACAATATAGACGAATGCGACATGGAAATGTTTTTTACGGCGGATATGGAAATTTTTGGAGAGATTAAAACCTATGAATTAAAAACTGGAGGCTCAGATATTAAAGTTACTGATGAAAACAAAGAAGAATACATAAAGTAAAAGCTGCTATTCTTTAGGTTAACTTTTGCTAGCTCATAGAGCTAATACTATATTATTATTGCATAGTTTAATGAGCCATTGGCGTTTTACGAGAGGAGTGGAAGACCAAACAAAGGCTTTTATGGAAGGTTTTTATGAGGTGGTACCTTTGCGCTGGTTGGAATTCTTCAACGAGAAAGAATTAGAAGTAATTTAATAATTTTTATTTGATCAGATGTTGCATTGTTCAATAGTAGCAATCCGCTTAATCAAGTTTTTATGTGTTATATTTGCAGATGATGTTATGTGGCATGCAAGAAATCGATGTTGATGATTGGCAGCAGAATACTGTTTATAAACATTATACTAAGAATAGTAAGCAGGTTATGTGGTTCTGGCAGGTATGATTAAAGTTTATGTGATAGTGCTATTCTGCACACTGCATTTATTGCGTATAGTATGGCAATGCTTAGATGTACTAATTAAGATTGAAAATACCATAGTTTGTCAGGGATAGGAAGAATGAGCAAAGAATCCGGTTGTTGCAATTCATTACGGGTACCTGCCGTGTACCAATTGGCGGATTTAGCCATTTAATGGGTACATCAAGTTTCTTCTTTCACTATGCGTCTTTGCAACGATTGTAATTATTTTTTTTTGTTACTCACCAACTACGTTAGGGAGTAATGGTCCGCAGAAATTTTGCATTGAAAAAGTTGGTAAAGAGTCTTGGTTACCGAGGAGTCATACATGGTATTGCTTATAGTGTTGTAATCTAATAACGAAGCTTAATTATCAATGGATGTTATACTAGATTCAAGTACGATCAAAACCATCAAAAAGTACTACTTTATCTGACTAAATGTCATCTTTATTAATTTTACAGCTTCAATCGTCTCGATTTGCCTCCGTATAAAAGTTATGATCAACTAGTTGAAAAATTAAATTTCGCTATTGAAGAAACAGAAGGATTTGGAAATGAGTAGACTGATTGGGCTATTTCTGGAGAAAACTTCAGACTATATATATAGCTATTATTTACAAAATTAAAACAATTTTATTTCATCTGTAGTTACTGCTCATACTTTTTATTTCTTTTATTCATAGCTGTACTTTTGGTAATTTTTTATTAGTGTTTTAGCAGCAACTGCTTTCAAGCATATATGAGAGTCAATTTAGTGCTGAAGTTATTTCTATACGATTTAGCACATAGTATACCGTTAATGTAAGTAATATCGTATCAAAGCCAAGTCCGTGACTATGTAAGATGCAGTATTCAACTTGAAATATGCAAATACTAAATTTCTGATAATCTCTCTGATACAAAATTTAATTTGTTAACATTGACAGAGCAGCAAGGCATTTATAATGTTGCGCCTGCAAATTTTCATTTACTATGATTAATTCGCAATTCTAAATGTGTCTAAGCTTTTAGCATACGAATTAACTATGTAATTCTTGAGTATAGTTACAGTTATTCTATTATTCAGTAATATCAATATCGTTTAATGAGCTTGTCACTAATTATGACAATTTATTGGTATGGAGCAATTATAATATGGTTACGTGCATTGTGTATAATAAATATTTGTTTCCAATGCAGTAATTATGAAATTTACATTGGTGGGTGTGTGATTAAATCTATCAAGTTTAGATAGAAATAAGTACAGCAAGAGATTTATGTGATGCTAAAATTTGCCTATGTGTCACAGCGCATAACTTTATCGATTATGATCATTGTTAACTTCTTATACAATGACAGTGTGGCTTAATGAGGTATGATTAAGCCTCTCACATTTTATGCACAGAAAAATGCCTGGGATACTAGCTTTAGCGCAACCAAGATATGAGGGTGTTGACGTAATTTAGGTATGATGTTTTCTCTATGAATTTGCATCACTCATGTGGTGATAGCGTAATCCTGCGACTCTGTTTATCTTCAATCAAATAATTTACTAAGCAGAAATATAGTTAAGTTATGCTAGTGTTTCCGATTGTAACGCTAAATTCACTAATGCAACACTATAAACGCAGTACTTTGCGATTTTGTAGAGATGAGTGTTGTTAGACGAATTAATATAAAGGTAGCCACCTGTATCGGTATTATGTTCATTATATTAGCCGACTTCAACCTTATCTTTAATTCTACGCATAAATAAGTTATATCGTAATTATTTGTTAATACTCTTATTGTAATTCTACACTCATATCAGCACAGTAGGGTATGAAGTTTTGTAAACTGTGACATGTATCTTATCAGAATAATTAATTTATAGAGCGTATTTACGTATAAGGCTAATTTTAGTATTGTATCATTCACGGTAAATAGTTATAGATTATAATATCCTTCGATATCAAGGGAATTCAACTTTTGTTCGAACTCATGATGCATAGGAATTGCTCTAAAACGACTTAAAAATAGCTTAATTGCTTGGTACAATAGCCAAAAAATGAAAGATATTGGTTGTAAGATATAAGCATTATTCGGAGCTTGAGATATTTTCTTTTTCCATCTTCAAAAAGAACTTCAATATTAAATACCTATTGTAATCTATCCTTTAATAACTGAATGCTCAAACGGTGTTACATTATACATTACAGTCACACGATACAAATAATTGAATAACAACAACTTTTGAATTGAACGATATCTTGCTGATCTATAATTTAGATGAACGATAGGGTTGGTAGTCTATGCCTTTAGCAGCGGTAATTCGCATAACAGCTCCATTTTTTGTATCATCTTCCACTAATTGAATCATTCCACGAGCAACTTGATCAATGCTGTAATTGCACATTGTTAATTATTTAGGCAGCGTTTCATAAAGTTCATTACTTTAATGCATTGTAGCTATTAGAGTATCGAACAGAGTGCAAGTAGACAGATATCGCAACAATACTAACAATAGTCGAAAAAGAAACACTTGGATGATTCCGAGATATAAATTACCTAATTATTATAGCTTTCATTTTTCTGGCTTCCTCATGTTGATTTGCATTTACCAGAGAATCAATGGAAGCTTCAAACAAACTAGTTGGCGCGAATGATGGGCATATAGCATTGACCCGTATACCATCAGATTCATAACATGTCTTGAATGATCATAATAGAAGCCAGGCCAGACCGTTAGCATATGAATACTACGACTCATATTCGTAGTAGTATAAACAAATTTTAATCAAACTTACATCTAAACTTCGTGAGAAGCCTACTACACCAAACTTGCTAGCGCAATAAACAGGGCCACTTGGCATTGGAAGTATGCCTTTTATCAGAGTAAAAATTATTATTGCAAGTTAATTACGCATTCTATATAAAGAAATGGCCCACAAGCAACTATAGTAATCAATATAGATTTTATAATGACATGTCTATGAAGTATCAAAAAGGATACAGTCTTACAGGGTGTATATCATAGGAACATTGAGTAAAAGAAAATTTAAGAGTATATGCCTATTACCTCCCATAGATGCTGTGTTAATTATAATGCCACCACGACCGCCGTTTTTAGTAGACATTGCTTCCATTGCTAATTTAGTACCACGAATGACACTATTCTAGAGCATTTTTTATAACAATATAACAGCGTTATCTCAATGAGAGAAGTTAATTTAAGTCTCTTAACCAGTAATCTTATTATCGCAGCATACCGATACCGGTTAGCTGTTTTACCGCACATTTTACTAGATTTATTGTCATAGTATAAAAACGAATAGAATTACTATATTATACTGTAGTATAATACTCGTGTTATACGCGTATATTTTCTAATATGAAAGTAGTAAAGAAATAGCAAATGAATCATGTCTAAATAACAATTTAGCAATACTAACTGTATGCTAAAGTAATAGCAAGGAAATGCAAGTACTAACCAGGTTAATGTTTAATACTTTCTCCCACTGCTCCATTTCCGGAACTCCAGCATTATTGCATAGGATGTCAACATTACCGAAAGTTGACTTTGTGTAGTTGATTAAGTCTGTTAAAAGTAATGGAAAACTTAGCGTAAGGATAAAAGATTATATTCCAATGTAGTAAATGCGATATTGCTCAACTTAGTTGATGTTAAAGCTTCAAGTTAAATTACATTAGTAATGAATATAAAAAAAACTTATTGAAGTTGTAAGATTACTTTGA